AAAACATATTTGTTGAAAATTCGGCACTGGCACCAGAGCTTAGATCTAAACCTGCAGTCAGAGCTCGGTTGGAAGACAGATTCAACAGCAGCCCGACAGAAAACCCCAGATGTCAAGAACCCCAAGAATCTGGAGTAACTCTTAACAAGTGTGTTGCAATTACTTTATGTTGTTAAACTATGTATCGTATAGTTCAAAACTGATTTTCTAAGTGAAACCTAAGAACAGTACTTTTTTTTAATACACGAGAAGGATGGGTTGGGCTTTGTTAAACTGTGCCATCAAACGTGGATGCAACTCTGCTGAGCTCAGCTTAGGCCCCTCTGTGTATTGCATAAATGGTACAGCATGTAGTTCCAAAATTAATTACTTTACAGCTTTATTCTTGATAACATGTACTGTAAATAAAGGCGAGAGAACAATGCGTAGTTTTAATATGCAGCTTGCTAAAAGCAAAGTAGATTTTTGATCATAATAATAAGAGTGATTGATTAGTGTTACAATGTGGAGGCCTGACTATGGGGAAAACTTTGAGCAAAAATGTTGTTTTACAATCTAGCCCTGTAACCGTCTTAGTGTGCTGATAAATGTTTTATTGAGGTGTGAAATGAACTGTTATTGCACAGAATAAAATATCTTCTCAGCTGATTTTCCTTTTCTTTCTTTGGTCCCTGAAGTGGGCAATATGGCAATAACAGTGATTTCTGTTTACAGTAAATGCAACTGGTTTCTTGGTGATAGTTACTAGAAAGATGTGTAGCTGTACATTTTTCTGCACTCATTTTCAAGCAGTCAGCCTGGTATGTTTTCTGTTTGTTTGTTTTTGTTTTTAAGTTTAGTGACACTGATTCGCCAGCCCTCGGAAGTGGTGAGTGTTCCTCTTCACCAGCAAGGGAACAGGTGTGCTGCACTTGGGAAAAATAAGGCTGCACCTGCCACACATTCCTTGCCATTCACATACCCGTTCTTTACCATGAATGCATGTTCTGCTGCTGGAAGTGCTAATCCTTCCCAAGCACAGGTAACTCTACTCTACCAAGTTCAAATGCTGATAATATTAACTTCTTAGGTGTAAAATAATTGTGAAGGTTTGGGGTAAAGTGTGGCTTTGAATAGGGATGATCAGAATGATCTGTAATGCAATTCATTTAATAATCTTTTAAATATACTCAAGTCAGTTGTGTGGCATTTGTAATTTTTGTAATTAGTAATTACCTGCATCCCAAAAATGAGCAGTAGGCCATTAGATTTCTTTTTTTCTGGAGTTTATCCATTTATCATCGTTTTCATCTGTGCAAGACAAGAAGCAGCCACTTAGTAGCATTTTCTACAGTTCCTTTCTTTCTAATTTATTTTGATGATAAAGATATTTCGCCCTCCACAACTTACAGTAACCTCTGAAGCAAAAGGGATAGAATGGCACTCAGAAATGTCAGAGGTATCCCCAAAATTCATCAGTCTGTCAAAATCCCATGGTTATATGTGGAAGTATTTGGGATTTATTCTGGCTAAAGAAGTAACTTAAGAAGTTAACATGAACATATCAAAATAGATGGGTTTTGTTTCTTAGTTTTGGTTGTGGTTTTATTGTTTGTTTGTTTTTTTAATGTATATAGTTCTGTATTTTCTTTTTGATTTTTCACAGACCTGTGGAACATCTTGCACTATTTTGGAAGCTGCCAAACATCAAGACCTTGGGATACCCAAGACGTTCCCTTTCCTCTATCAGGAAGTTGAATCCACAAAACAGACAGTAGGTGCTATAAATAAAGCTTTGCCTGAGGAAGTTTGGATTAAAGTTGGAGGTAAATCATTTATCTTCTTTTCACTTAGCTTTCTCTTGGCCTTCAAATCTACATTTTGGTCCTGAATTTGTGTCTTTTCTGGAATGAATATGATTTTAGTGGATGTAGGAGGTGAGGGTTTTATGGCAGAGATGTGCTGTGGGCAACATGGGACTTGGATTTCTCCAGAAAAGTTCAACACCTGTTAGTTTAGCTGTACTTTCAAAATTGCTTAGCACTTCTAGCTTGAAGTGAGGAAACTCAAGGTTACAAAGTACCTTTGAAAATCTGGTTTCTTCAGAATCATAGAATCATTAAGGTTGGAAAAGACCTCCAAGATGATCAAGTCCAACCTTTGACCAAATACCACCAAACCACATGGCAAAGGGGCACATTTTGTGACCCCAGAGCTGATACAGCAGATCCAGTCAGTACCAAACTAAAGGACATTTTAAGGATTGCCCCAAGTGCTCACCAGGCATAGTCTCAGTGGGCTCTCTGAGAAAATAGAAGCTATGTGGATTTTGGAATAGCAAGCAGTGCCTTGGGGCTTCTGAAGGACTTGTAAGAGTCAATCTAGGCTGGCAATAAAGCTTCAAGGATTATTCCACAGAAATAAAACAACAAAAAACCCCCTCCACGATCACTATTTTCAGGTTAGTGGGAGGGTTACAAAAAGGTGGTTCTTTTCCTCTTTGTTTTTCCAATAAGACACCTTATGCAAGCAAGCCATAAACAGAAGTTGCAGCCGAATAAACCCATTGGATCCAAACATGGATCGCAAACCTCTCGGTGAAATTCGAAACGCCCGTGACAACAGCCAGGGCAGTGGAGCTGCCCAGGGCCCCTGGCAGTCAGCACAGCCTGGCTCCAGTGTGCAGGTCCCGAGTGGAACCCAGGATGGGAGCGCTCAGCGCAGGGAACGACACAACCGCCTGGAGAGAGACAGAAGGTAATTCTGTGAGCTGAGGCCTTGCAAAGCCTTTTGAAACCTTAATACTGTGATCATCCAGAGTAAATGTAGATGTGACGTGTTTCATGTTAGCTCCAAGAAAAAGCAAAGCAGGTGGTGAGGGTTTGGTGTTCCTTAGAGGGAAAATACATGTATGTTTCGTTATGGTTTCTTTGTTGTGTTTTTACTCTCTAAACAAACAAAGAGAGATTTCAAAACATTTCACCCATTCTATAAAGATAAGGTAACTTGTGTGTAGCATGACTGATACACAAAGCTCTTAGAAAACAAAAAGAAGTCTGTGGCTGGTAGTCTTCCTTTTGTTTTTGTTTCTCCCTTCCCTCTGGCCCTGGTTGATAACCTCCGATGTTTGCAGGCGCAGGATCCGGGTTTGTTGTGATGAGCTGAATCTCCTGGTTCCGTTCTGCACGATTGACACTGATAAGGCAACAACTTTGCAGTGGACAACTGCATTCCTGAAGTACATTCAGGAAAGGCACGGTGACTCTCTGAAGCAGGTTTGAAATCTGATTTCATTTTTGGTCTTGTGGAAAATGTGAAATGTTTTAAAGCTGTAGTGTATAATGTATATGGAATGCTTATTCTTGATGCTGTTTGTGAAGGATCCACTATAACCTTGAACCTTCCTTTAAATTTTTGGTTTTTTACTGGTTCAGTTCACTAGTGAGAAATGATAGGCTGTCCTCAGTCAAGGTTTTCAAATCGGATTTTGAAATCAATATTTTTTTCTTTTAGCTACCCCATTCCTGAGCGTGATCCTACTTGGAAAACAATATTAGAATTAAGGTCCTCTTCAGTCATTCCTCCCTTCCTTCCTTTTCTCTATTTTTTACCACTTTTACAGTCTTTAATTGTTTTTTATGAACTATTAGTTCAGGGATGGATTTACAGCTACCTGCCTGCACTATCTCAGAGTAGGTGAGTGTAAAGGGTTACATGTCCTATAAGAAGCTCCCATGCTCCACACCAGTAGTAATTCTGGCTCTGCCAAGAATTTTAAGACAGTACATAGAGTGTGTATTGGAAAAGCTGCTTGTCTAGATCCTGATATAGCCCCTCAGCACTTCCTACTGAAGGGTTTTATTTTTCAAAAACACTGATGAGACAAAAACATCCATCTCAAGTAAATTTCTACATTAAATGTAGTTGTTATTTATTCTTTGTATTTTGATTTTTTCAGGAATTTGAGACTGTGTTCTGTGGTAAAACAGGCAGGAGACTAAAAATAGGAAGACCAGACTCATGTGTAATGTGTCCAGCGCAGGAAAACCGCACAGCTATGGAGACCAAATAGTCAGACCTGACCACCTTGAATTGTGTGACAATGGTCCAAACTGTATTTTATTCTTTCCATTTACATGCTGAATATGAATTTTGACATGTAACTTGTAAATATATATAAATAGAGCTTTAAAGAAAATGTTCTTTATTGAAAATGGAAATGAAAGTTAACTACCAGCAGTGGAAACCAGTACCCGGTTCAAGAGGCTTTGGGACCAGAAGCTACAAGAAAGTATTTTTACCCTTTAGTTTTACAAAATTGGTTTGTCATCCTGCTTTAGGGTTTTATTTAATTTTTTGGGTTTGCTTTTTTTTTTAAAGATGATCCACTACAGTTAGGCAGAGTTGTAGACCATCCATCTGTCCTGTTATTTGAATGGCTAGATGGAAACATACTCTTCCACTGCGAAGAAAAACTAAAGTTACCATATTATAATGACCATTTTCCCATCAAAAATGTAAAGGTTATATTGGTTGTTTGAGCAAATGCTTAGTTTCTAAACTGTGCATATTATGAATTTTCCATTTGCACACATATTTAACATATTTGCCCCAAAGAGTATTATTTTTAATGTCTGTCGTACAACTGTCCAACAGGTTCTTGTATTGTTACTCTAAACCAAGAGTGGCATATTGTAAACAGTAGATATTTAAATGCACAAACTATTTTTATATTTAAAGAAAAATATGACACTTTGTTCATAGGCTTTGGCATGTAGGACAGAAATAGAACAGTGTGTGAGCTGAGAGTGGCTTTATTAATTTTTTTAAAATAGATGATGCTAGCAAGTTTTAAAGTATAAAAAGGTCTACCAAAATTAATACTGGTTTAAATCACGGATAAGGACAATTTTGCAGCAATTTATATCCAAACAATCCTAGTAAAACCAGTTCTGGAAAATGGAGTTCAGCTGAGTTAACTTGATGTGTAAATGACACAACATCACAAAGAAAAGGTTTAAAAAAAAAATCTCCTTTTATTTTTACAACAGTTCATACAGGTGGTTTTGGCTGGACTTTAGAAGAGCATCCTTTCTTACATGGGGTTCCATCACAATTACTGTGCAAATAGCTTAAGTAGAGGTCATGAAAACGCTGTTACTTCATTTCCTTTATTATCATATGGAAATATACAAAAATCCTTCCCTCAAAATTAAATATATACATTACACCTTTTGCGGAATTTGATTGCAAGAGGATTATTGTTTACTAGTCTTGGCAAATATTTGAGGTGCAATCTGAAAATTGCTAAGTGACAGCATATATGTAAGTGATGGTCATTACTTCGGCCAGAAAGTTAAGATATTAAAATACAGGATATTTAAATGCATGATTTCCACTGATAGAAGAGGAAGTTTGGTGCCTGAGTACCTTAACAACGTGTGTCTTTGTGCACAAACCTACAGAACTGAAATCAGTGGCAGTAGCACCAAGGGATTCAATTGAAAAGCCTCAAACTTTCATAGCAAGAAGCCGTGATCTGTAGTATATGGGGGGGGGTGATGGTAAAAAGGAACAATGCTTCCTCTTGCAGGACTCGAGCAAAGGGAGAAAGGAAAGGTGAGGTTGTTTAGCAGTAAAAATTCTGGAAAATAATTGGGGGGAAGGAAAAATACTCAAAAGCATCTTTTAATTAAAGTTTTCACCTGATGCTTTCTTTTTCATAGAACTGTGTCAAAGTCTCCACTTAACAGAACAGAAGGAGCATCTGTCCATTTAGCACTAGGAGGATTCTGTTTTCTTACAATGCACTGTTTATTTAAATATTCAGTCACTTCTTCACTTCTTGTACTGTTGGTTTATGATTTTTTGGAAATTGATGCTGCAACAGCTCCCATGCAAGCCGACGTGTCACAGATTCCTGGAGTTCCCTGAGCCCCAATAGTACCAGGAGTACCAGGATCCCCTGGCAGGCCGGGTTCACCCTGAGCCCCATCACGGCCGTTTTTAGTAATTCCAGGCACACCAGGTGGTCCTAAACAAGAAAGGGGGAAAGATTACATGAAGTATTTCCATCTCTTCTTTTTAAATTTTTTTTTATTTTATTTTTAATATATGTATATATGTGTTGCTTTTAGAGATCTTAATATACTTTGAATGTCTGTACATCACACTTGTTATGGCCTGTTGAGTACAAGGTGTTTTCAATAAATTTACCCTGAATCTGAAGTTCTGCATTTTTTTTATGCCTGAATAGTTTGGTCAAGGGATGTCCTGTCTGCGTGAGCTCACAGCTTACTTATTGTGACAGTACGTGTGGTCACAACTGTCCCTCCTTCCTTGTCACCAGCTTGTTCCCCAGTGGGAGGCTGTGGCCTTCAGCAGCTTCAATTCACTGCACCTCTTCAATTCAAGTTGTAATTAAAATTCTGAGTAACAGAAGAGTGGTGATGATAATCTACTGTCAGCTCTATGCAGAGCTGTCCCTAAGTTGGACTTGATGATCCTTGTGGGTCCCTTCCAACTCAGAACATTCTGTGATTCTTAAGCCTCTGCTTTAGTGATGGAATGTTAAATTATTTGCACAGCCTTACCTTGAAGTCCTTGATCGCCATCAGGCCCATCGATACCTTGACCAACAGGTCCTTTATCTCCCTTTTCACCAGTGTCACCTTGAATATAAACAGAGTTTCCACAGTGAGTTGTGCACTGGAGCCAAGGACAGGAAGTGGAGAGACCAAGAGGAGCTAAAAATCCTCAGGACATTACTTGGATCTCTGCTTACAGTGCACCCCCAAAGATGCAACCCCCCCCTCTAGAACTCCATGGAGGCCTGATCTCTTTCCCCCCACTGCTGAATTTAGTACAGTTTTGCAATTTATTTCAGTGGGCATTAAAGAGAAGCAGGTTGCTTTAGTCTTAACTTACCTCTGGGACCAGGATCTCCCAGCTCTCCTGTTGGCCCTCTGTATCCAGGGGGACCACGAGGACCAGGATGCCCAACGCTTCCCATTGCTCCGGGAGGACCCGGGGGCCCGGCTGGGCCAGGCCGACCCGTCATTCCAGGGGACAAGGGCTTCCTCAGATTAGCAGCTAACTGTGCAATTTGCTCTGAAAAACACAATGAAAAACTGCATGGCCAACACTTTCACTCTTTGCTTGAGCAGATCTTCCTGTCACTGCCACACACTTACTGCTTCTGGCAGAAGGAAACATTGAGTCTCCTCTCAGCCCACCTGTAGCTTTTTGGGGTTTATTATACTACACAGAGGGATTTTCATCATAAATCTGCAGGATTTGAAGCCTGTTTCCAAAACCACTTTAAATGACATCAAGTATTCTAAGAAATGATGCTTAAATAATTAAAACAAGTTTTCTAAAGCAAACTTTCAGAGTTTAACCTCATCCCAAATGGGGAATATAACCTCCAAATGCAGAACAGTAACTCTGAAGAAAGAAGGACACTCTGGGGGGCTCTGCTCCAAGGAGATGGGGTACACTGAGGAGAGAGAGGAGGTGGGAGCTGAAGTCCAGAATGACACAGGTTAGGGCAGGCAGACACTCTCACAGCCTGTGCTGGCACAATACTTGTGTCAAAGCTGCTTTCAGTGCACTTTGTCTGTTGCCAAGATAAATCATCGAAAAATACTAATTTTAGAACAATGAAAGACATCCCAGAAACAAGGTGACCTCCTGAATGATTTCCCTGCATTAAAGGTCAATGTATTTTTTCTTATCCGGACAGAAAACTAACAAATCTCAGGAGTTATCTTACGTTCAGGGTCTACTCATCTTCAGCTAAAATGGCAATTCAGTCAGTTTTCTCTCAGTGACACTCACCATTTATCATTTCCCCGCAGAGTTCTCTGATATGTTGTTCACTGGCCTCTTTGCCCTGCAATTAACAGAAGAATTTGTCCTTGTGCAAATCATGTTATCAATAATCATCCCCAGCAGAAGCTTCAGGACACAAAATACATTTCCAGCAGCTCAGGAAGAAGCACAGGATCCCACATGGAGAGGAGTGGGTTCTTTCCCCTCTTCAAAAGATGACAGCTTCAGTTCAGAACTCTGTCATACTAACGGCAGAGATTAATTTTAATGTTAGGCCAGATATTTAATCTGGGGCTTATTTGGCCTTACTTTTGCCTGATGAAACACAGGACCTTATTTTTTGAACATACATCCAAACCCCACGATCCATTTATTCACTTCACAGGCTCCCTGGCTGTGCCCTAGAAGCAGAGGACACTTACAGGAGGCCCAGGTTTTCCCGTGATGCCAGGAACACCCTGCACCCCCTGATGGCCCATGGGCCCCGGATGTCCTGGGATTCCTGGTGCTCCAGCTGTCCCATTAGGTCCTTGGGCACCTTTTGGACCAAGTTCTCCTCTTCTTCCTGGCTGTAACAAGACAAAAAAAAGCAAAAACCACTGAAAACTGAAGATATGAACCATTGTTTTCTCCTGGTCATTAGTTAAGCCTTTTGTCAGGTTTCCCTGACTGACCTGGCTGATATGTACAATTCTTACATCCTATGGGTGGTTTTACACATAAACAGGAGTCCTTACTGCAGCAAAATTATCAGACATATTCCAGTATTTTGAATGCTACAACCCCCTGTCATTTTCACAGTTCCTATAGCATGACTGTGAGGAAAACATTTTTCTACGGAATGGAATCAGAACTTAATTTATTGACATATATCATTGACAGATGCAATAGTCATGTTTACTTCCAAACCTTCTGGGGCATGAGCCCTCAGTGTCTGACACATACCTCTCCTTTTTGGCCAGGGGGACCAAATGGACCCTGTTAGAAAGAAAAGGGAAATAAGAAAGAATGACCCATTCAGAAAATGCACCTCTGAAGCCCAACCTCCCAAGCTGCAGGAAGCTGTACAAGGCTTGGGTTGCCTTCTCCTTTTCACAGCAGGGTTGGAGATCTTGGATGATTAATTCTGACTGACCATACTGATACATGGTTTTCTAAACCCATCTGTTATCTGAGGAATCAATCCTGCTGGACTTGAGGACACCTACCAGCTCTCCTTTGTCACCTGGGAGGCCATCGGCTCCAGCAATGCCCTGAAAGGGAGAGACCAGAGTTAACACTGCACCTGCTGGTGCACAAAGACAGTGTTGCTGACAATGAGGCTCACCCTGAGACTTGGGTAACCTCAGTGCCTAAGGGAGATGGGGTCTCTTTGCAGCTTATACAGCTGCTCCAGCAATAGGAAGTTCCCTCTTCCCAAGGCTGAACTCCACAGTAGGTGGCACAAGGACTGGGTGCCCCTTGTGACAGGCTGGGACTTGGCTGAAAGGCTGAATTCATACAGATGAGATCCCTGGCGGGGTGGCCACAAAAGACATCCAGAGGCTGTCCTCGAACAGTGAATCTAAATTTCAGGTTCCCCAGCTCTGTATGTGGGTTTGCAGCCACAGCCAAATGTTCAGTGTCCATGTTCTTTAGGCTTCCTGAGCAGAGTCACCTGCAGAACATCTTCATCCCACCCTTAAACTGCAGTGATCATCACTTGGTGAGCATCCTCCCTCTCCTCTCTGCCTGGGGACTGTAAAGTGAGAGTGGTTAAAGCTCTGGTGACATCCCTTTTCCCAGACAGGACGAGGAGCATCAATTTGCTGATCACCTCCCCTCAGCAGCAGCGGTGTGTGCAATTTGGACATCACTGGGGGTGACACAAATCACTGCAATCTGCTGCCATCGGCCCCACGGGCAGCACTGCCCCTGGGGAACACAGAGCTGGCTTATTACACAGCAATTAGAGCAGACAATGAGCTTGTTATGGTGACTCGCTGACTTTCCAGAGGAAGTCATTTAAAGACAAACAGAGATTAGGTTGGTCTTTCCCTTAGCAACAAAACGGAGACCACACAGACACTGACACTGGTAAACAAAACCAGCAAGGCTTGCTAGAAAAGCCTTGTTTTCTATAAAAACACGGTCATGCATTAATGAAAGCCATATATTTAATGAAAACTGGCTCAAAAGCTCATTGCTGAGATTAAACCGACTATGGAAGCTGAGCAGCAAAAAGTAAAATATTAAATTAGTCCATTAGTGTGCTAAGCTTTGAGTTTAGGACAAAATCTTCCTCATCAGCCACATAGAGTTCAAGGAAAAGCTGCACTTCTAAACTTAACTGAGGAGGAATGTGATGTGAGGAGCTCCTACACAGATGCCTCGTGGCTACAAAACACACAGCAAGGGTCTAGTGTTTTTATCACAGCATTTTCATGAGACTCCATTAGAACAGCCTACATCTGTGCCAACAGGGAAAATGGGACCAAAGAGAGTTTTGTTGGTGCCTGCTGCAGAATATTTTCATTTGAGGGAGAAAAAGCAGTTTGTACTGTTCTAAGGCTGTGCCTGAGGTTTGGGTTAAATGCCTCTGCTGACAACAGCACCAAAGTTATCACTTACCTGGTTACCTTTGGGACCAGGAACACCAATAGGACCCTGTGAATAAGAGAAAGAAGGCAAATGAGCTCAAACTGTTATTTTCCTGTGAATTCCTGGTGTAGTCAGACACTCACTTAGCAAGGGGTTGGATTTACTCACAGTATAAAATGGACAAGACCATTTTTGTACCATAATCCAGGCAACTTGAAAAATCCTTCCAACTTTACCTACCTGGCATTCACAGAGAGGACATGAGACATTTTCAGCCCTATTTGTGACTTTTCTGCTCCACGGAGCAGAGCCAACAAGGAGTTCAGGAAAACCCCAATTTTTTTTTTCTCTACTGCAAAATCTACATGGGAAATTCCATCATTTTACCCTTGAAAGAGGATTCCTACAGGACATTCATCCATCTGGCATCTGCAAACTGATCATTTTTTATTAACTAGATCTGGAGATGGCTCAGCAGAACAGAATCTTTGAGGAGGACAAACACATAGAACAAGGACATGTCATTTTGCTCAAATCCAGCACTAAGTTGAAAAAAGGGGGGGGTTTCTATTAAAGGAAAATAACTGTCAGCAAAACAGACAATAGAACATAGAAATGCAGAAGTGGCTACAGCTATTTATAACTCCCAATTTATGTTTGCTGGTGGCAAAGGCAATATATTCTTTTCTGAACGTTATCATCTAGATTTATACCTCTGGTTTCACAGAGTCCCAAGGCTCCATGAAAGTTTATGGCAATGAAACACAGTTCAGTCACCAAAGACCGTGCCCTGCCAGGAACACTCCCTGAAAGAGAAGCTTAGCCCAAAGGATTTTCATTCAAAACTGTGATTTACTGCAGTAGCAATTCCAAGGAGCAGGAACAAGTGACAGGAGTTTAGGACTGCCAGCTCCAAGCCCTCACGTGTGTGTCAGTTAAACACAACCAATGTTTTTGGCCAAGTATCACCAGATTATCTATATTATCACTAGATAGTGATGCCAGCACAGAGCTGAGAGGGGCATTGCCCCAGGTGCCTGCTGGCATCCAGAATCCTCCGGAAATCGATCCTAACAAAAACCCTAAGGAAAAATATTTGTCTATTGCTACCTCAGTCGGCAACAACAATTAAATTCTTCCCCTCCCCATATCCCACTCCAACAAGATGGTTCATATATTTAATCTCAATGCTATCTTAGATCTTACAGTCAAATGCACTAGATCTCTTGTATTTCTTATGCCAGCAAACACACAATGACATGCAGGTTTGTATTCCTGGCCACAGGCAGTCCAAGGACTGTGAAAAAGCCTGTCAGTACCTGTTAGCTTAGGCTTGAAGGGATTTTTTAATAGAAAAGCCACAGTTGATTTCAGGAGAGAGGGATGGTGTAATTGTATCAATCTCGTGTTTGCAGTTCTCTTTATACAGGTCAGGACCAGCAGTAAAGCAAACCCAGGGCAGATTTGCTTGGCTCTTCGTGTGTGTGTCCCAGCAGTGCCATCACCCCCAGCAGCAAAGCCCATTTTTTAAGGCTAAAAAAGCACATTCTGAGGTTTTAGGGTCTTCCCAACCCAAATCTCGTGGTGATTGCTGGCACAGCCCTCGCTGCTGTCACTGACACCAGTGGGACTGGATGGGCAGAGGGAGATTACTCTGAGCACCAGTCACATGTATGAGGGTGGAAAGTCTCCAGCATTATCCAAACCTGCTACACCCACTTTCCTGAAAGCTGCTAATGTGCTGGGGTGGCAAGAAACAAAAGAAACAATCACAGTTTGGAAAAGATCTTGAAGATCATCAACCCAGCATCAATTCATTCATCAACCCAGCACCACCACCACATTCACCACTAAACCATGTCCTCAAGTGCCACATCCACACGTTGTTTGAACACTTCCAGGGATGGTGATTCCATCACTTCCCTCAGCAGCTTGTTCCAATGCTTTACAACCCTTTCTGTGAAAAATATTTTCCTGATATCCAATCTAACCCTCCCCTGGCACAACTCGAGGCCATTTCCTCTCATTCTGAACAATCAACAGTTACATCTTAGAGCAACTGCGCTTGACTTTGGAGCCAGAAAAAAAATCTAGATCATTTTTTATTGCTTTAAGCATAACATTTTCCCTCTCTTTGCTCAGAGCAGCTCCCTGGATGCTCCGTGCAGGGGCCTCTTCCCCTCTGAACACACATATTTTCACTGCAGAGAAGCCCTGAATGCAGTCAGAGCCCCACAGCTCCACAATAACCCTCCTGTTTCACACTTCCAGCTCACAGTCACTCCAAGAGGCTTTTTTAAACCTGCCTGGAGCCAGCACAGAAGGGCCATTGTGGAACCCCCGTGGTCCTGCTGTGATTGCTTACACAGAAACTTCACCTTAAGGCTGGAGAGGAGGGAGCTGGTGAACACATGGCTCCTGTTCTCCTGCAAGCCCCCAGCAAATGCTGTTCACTTTGCCCTGATGGTTTCTTTTAGATGAGAATGAATTAATTTAAATAAAAAGGTCTCATTTATTCTGAGGTGGATGGCCAGGTGTGTGGCTGATCAGAAAGATCAGTCACTGAGCAAACTGTAATTTAAAAAAAAACCACCAGAAAGTCTAATCAAGCATCTGAGTAACAAAAATGCACAAATCAACTCTCCTGTGCCCATGGGGAGTGAGGCTTTTGTGGAAGCAGCATACAGAGCAGGGAAAAATCCCAAACAACATATATTCTGGCTAGGATGGGACCTGAAAGCCCTGTCTAAAAACAGTGGGAGTTCCTAAAGTGAAACAGAAACAAGGACAGGAACGGAAGAGACAGGATGCACAAATCCTGTTACCTGCCATAGGGTCCATCCCGGGCACACAGCAGCCTCAGAGGAGGGACTGGGACACCAAATGTACAAACCTGTTTGTGTTTGCTGGGGTGACATCAGCTACACCAAGTTTTGGGCCCCCATTACGCTCTAGTTTCATATCCCAAACAGGAATTAGCTACAGATATCTTCTCCTTACCCTGTCACCTGCCTCTCCACGGATTCCAGTTGGACCAGGAAGGCCAGGTTCACCACTGGCACCTTTGGGACCCTGTCAGGAAAACAACAAAAACCAAGCTGCAGCTTACAGTGCCAGGAAACCCTCCATGCTTCAACACCCCAACAGTTCACCAGCCTCCATAACATGTTCAAAAAGGTTATTTGTCTTGGATGTTCTCTCTTCCTTTTCCCCCAGGACCTTGGGACCACTTGTGTTGGTTGGTACAGCTCACTCCAGCTTCTGTCCTGGTCCACAGGCCAGGTCAGGCACCTGCCAAGGTGCTCCAGCCTTTGGCCTGGGCCTTTCACTAATAAATCACATCTGTGATGCCACCAAGTGATGCTCTCTGAAGGCACCATCACGTGCCAGTGTCAGTGGGAAATGGAGCATGGAGGTCCCACTCCCTTGGAGAGAGGAGGGAGAAATATGGGAGTCCACAGTGAGTGCAGCAGAGAGGAGGAGGAGTTCACTGAAGAAATACAGGCTGAGAGGGGCCCAGATCAAGGAGAAACTGAGGTGTCTTTGCAGAGGTCAAACTTGAAAAATCATAAAACAGTTTGGGTTGGAAAGCTCAGCTTGTTCCAAACCCCTGCCATGGACAGGGACACCTTCCACCAGACCATGTTGCTCCAAGCCTTGTCCAACCTGGAACACTTCTAGGGATGGGGCAGCCACAGCTTCTCTGGGCAAACTGTGCCCAAGAATGGGCTCAAAACCCCAACCCTTCCTTTACAAACAAGTGCTAAACATAAATTGTTCTGGTAGGCAGCTTATCTGGGCTTGTGTTCTTTCTGAAGTTGACAGACTAGTTCTGGCAAATGGAAGGATGTTTCTTCCTACCCTTCATTGCCATCACACAATTTTCTGGCCAGAGGTTTGCAGAAAACAGTGACCTGCCCAAACATGATGCCCATTAAATTACCTCTGTCAGCACACTGACCTGGAAACCTCGGACACCACGGGCTCCTATGGGGCCTTGGAGACCAAGTGGTCCCTGAAAGGAGAAAGATCAGCTTTGGTGAGGAGCAAATTCAGGGCCAGGTAAGTCACTTGTGCAGTTACATTGGCAGAGAGACTGTGCAGTTCTGTACTGCAGCACTTTGCCCCACGGCATTGCTGATACCACTGTAAAGTGATGTCTGGTGTTCACTGAGCTTTCTCAGCATTATTATTATTATTATTATTAACTGAAATGTTTATTTGTATAATTAATGCTTAATAACATACCATACTCATGAGTAGTGAAGATCAATGACAGCAAAACGTGGCAGCAGAGACAATATCCATTAAAGAGGATGTGCTATCCCAATACTGTGCTTTTAATTGATTGCAAGAAACTACTGCAAAACATGTGCTGCAGGCCCTTGGAGATGAAAAATGGCAATTGCATCCATTTCTTTGGACATACTTTGTACCAACAACATAGAAAAAAGCAGCAGCTGATGCTGTTAGTGCAGGGGCTTTTAGGAGCTCACCAGACAGAACATCACTATAACCATTAGGAGTCTCTAGTGCTTTCTTCTGAGAAAAATCACATATCCAATAAAGATCCGGGATGAAAAAAAAAAACCCTTTAAGTAATTTAGGCACCTAAATCCCATTTTGTAAGCTGTCTTCTTGAAACAGATGCCTTCAGCAAGCTTCTGTCACGAGGAGGGACTGCAGCTTTGCCTCCTTTCACAGCCATCCCTGAGGGGTGAAGTGTTCTGGGACACAAATAAGCTTCAAACTGGCCACTGAAATAAAGCAGCACCATCGTCCAAAGGCTATAGAACTGCTCGGGTATTTTTGTGGTTACTGTTTTCACTTCTGGTTTTTGCTTTTACTCAGGAACTTTAATTTCAGTTAAGGAACTTCATTTATAAATATAGAGCTCTAGGAAAGTTAAGTTAAATTGCATCAAAAACGATTCTGCTGTGCTGGTGCCTTTAAATGTGGTGGGACCTGACTGGCTCCGAATGGGAGAAACCCTTGGTACACTGGGCTAAAAACCCCCAAATTGTTTTGAGCCAAACAGCCTTAACACTGGAAAAATCCTGCAACTCTCTTAGAATAGCATGGTCTTAACTAATAAATTATTATTCTAATAACACAAATCAGAAATTAGGAGCTCAGGCCACACATAACCATGGGTTCAGCTGCTATTGAACCCCTGTCAGAACTCTGCACCAATGCAATTAGCTCAACTACTGTTGCTTTTTTGCTATAATAATGTGGCATCTTTTGTGGAACCAGGTATTTTTATGAAAAACTGCAGTCATAAAAGCAAACATTATTACTACAGTTTATTTATAAGGCTGATTTCCCTCTCCTTGAAGGTTTCAGGAGCAGCTGCTCACAAACAATAAATCACGCCGTTCAATTCCTTTCAAGTGGTACATACCAGAAATCATATTAGACCTGCTGTAGGCTCCTGCATTTCAAAACGAGTTTAAGATGAGAAAAAAAAAAGAAAAGAAAACAAAGCCCAACAAAACCACTGGAATGCCAGGTACAACCCCAGCACCAGCACTAGCTGGGGAGGACAAGATAAAAAAGGTACTCAAGTGTTTTTAGTAGTGTGATCAAAATCAGGGATTTGCCATCCAGATATTACTGATTATCATCTCTGCTCTGGAGCAGGGACATGGCAGGGGGACACGCAGTTGTTTTCAGTTTTGCTGTGTGTATGGCTTCAGGTTTTGCAGTGAATCCCTCTTCCCTGTTCCAAGGACAGTGATAAAGAAATGGGGAGTGTTCAGTGTACACTGCAACAGCTTCACAGCAGCTTTGCTTCATTAATGGCTCACTTCAACACAAGCAGAGCCTTACTATTCCTGTTTAATGAGGGGCTTGCTGGCTGTCCAGTCTCTCCTGTCAGACTGTAGCAGCTCCTCAAACCTCTTGGACAACTGCACCTTCCTTTGCCAAGGGAAATGGGAGGGATCACTTGGCATTTGCACGGAGCTGTCAGTGAGAACAGGATCTGACTCACTTATGGGGGACATATTCCTCTGCTGCCAAAACTCCCCAGAGAGAACATGACCTTTTGCTGTAGCCAGAGAGTAACCCCATACACAAACTCTATTTTGGTGATTTACAGGCAGTGCTGTACTTACAGTTGCTCCCCTGGGTCCCGGCAGCCCTCTCTCACCAGGAACACCGACATCGCCCTGGCAAGAACACTGAAGTCAGCCGTGATATTGAGGAGCCATGAATCCACCCTTCCCTCCCCGCTGCAGAGCCAGAAGGCATTCCTGGATCCCTCAGTCCCAAACTCCCTGCCCCGTTGGCCCATCTTCTCCTCCACACCTGCTGGGCTTTGCCCTCTGCTGCAGCACAGTATCTGTGCACGGAGGTGCCTGCCCGTCCAGCTCCCTGGGGAGCTCCACACCCCTGTGGACTGCCTGCAGTGCTCAGTCCCATGGGATTGCACGTGTTGCAGGCAGCACAGCACCTCTTGCATCGTTATTTGTGCAGGGAAGCAGCACATGAGCTCCAGTTTCACAGTTTGGTTCAAAACTCACTCAGCAGAGCTCATGCCACGTGCAAATGCTGGGATACTTACAGGGATGCCTGGCTCTCCTGAGGGACCTGCCTCTCCCATCTCTCCAGGACTGCCCTGCAGAGGAGAAAGCAAACACTCAGTTAGGGCATCACTTCAGAGAGTCATTTCTGTTCTACCTGAACAAAAGGAGGAGGGAGTTAAAGCCTGGGTCAGGAAATAAACACAGCTTTTAACTTTTACAGTTTTAAGACAGAACTCCCAACCCCAGACATGCAAAGAGCAGCTGAGCTGCACATCCTGTCCTGGGACCAGTGACCAGGGAGGGCTCTGCCAGCCCCCAGGGCAGCGTCACCACGTTCCTCATGGGACTGAAGGGGACCAGTGAGACAGGGATGCTCTTCTGGAGGTGTGCTCAGGACATCCCATCACATTCACTCCTGCATCACCCTCATGTCAGGAGAAATGCCTTCCTGCATGCTCTCCTGCATGAGGATTAGCAGGAATAATGATGCAGGCGCAGAGGGAGAAATTCAGAAAGAAGGGGAGGGACGGAAAAAAAAGATGCTTTTCAGAATAGCTTTGTCTGTCTGAGGTTTTCTTTTATCTCACAGGTAGGTGCCAGTCTAAAGCTCCATGGAAGGTTTTATCCTGAGGTGGGGGGGAAAGTCTCCAGAAGGCAAGATGAGAGAATCCTGTTCCTGCTTGCAGGTGCTCAGGCTTTTGATTCCCAGAGATGGAGCCTGCTCCTGGGACTTTGACCAAAGGGTGAGGTTTACTGAACCACTGATGACCCTCCTGTGCACCTGCTATGTCTTCACTGAATGAGAGTCAAGAGCAAGGCCAGCCCACTTGTTTTACCCAATTCCTGCTCCTCGCTGCCAGGGGGGCTCAGCCCCAGCAGAAATGCTGACACCCCCACTTTGGGGTAAGTCCTCCCAATACCCTAAAGCTAAAAAGCCTTGTTGTGACCAGCTTCCCCACCAAAACCCGTCATTAGAGGCATCCACTTACTGGTTCACCCTTTGAGCCTTTAATACCTGCTCTTCCAGGCAGTCCCTGGAAAAAAAAATTATATTAAAGCAATGTTAGAAGAAGTGAAGTTATTAAATTTGTTATTGTGGTCTGATTTGACACACAAGGAGCAACCTTTGCTTGAAGCAGTGGAGGATTTAGATTTCTGCAGCTTTCACTGTGCAAATTACGACTTCAATCTCTCTCCTGCCCACTGCCCTTGCTGCTCTGCAAACACTAATCCTTGGCATTAGAGCAAAGAGGAAGAATATGCAAATAGACCAACAGCAGCAACATTTTGCACAGCAGAAACATCTCTCCAGGGCTGTTCAAAATATTGTGTGATACAGGAAGAAAGGAATACTTTACCTCTTTTAAATAGTTGAAACATTTTGTCACTAAACAGTAGTAAACCAAGGACAGAGCTCAGGATATTATATCCCAGATCTTACCTCCCTGCATAGGGAATGCACATCACTGGGACATGAAAGAGAAAATCTCTCTCAAATTTAGATTTTAAACAGAGACAGAGAGGCCAACAGCCATGGAGTTAGAATATGGGGCTACTCCAGATGTCCTCCATTCTGTCTTGGACACTGCTTCCCTGACTGCATGGTGGGAAAAGGGCATTTCCTCTTGGCTTAACTGCGGCCCCTTGTGAAACAACACACAAAATGAGCCTCCCCTGTCCCCAGGAGGGATCTCTGCAGGCAGACTGAGCTGCTGGAACCCCAGAGGTGGCAGGTCCTGCTCCATACTCACAGGAAGTCCGTTTGGCCCCTTCTCTCCAGGAGCACCCATTGGAGCTGCATCACCCTGTGGATAGTGAGAGGTTAGGAGGGATCCTCCAGCACTGGGAAATGGTCTGACACAGGGAGGGGACACATTCCCAAACAGGCATTTGTACTCTTCTCCCTCCCCAGGACCAAGAGCTGTTGTGCCTACAGGAGGTGAGCACCCACTGGACATGAGCTCCCAGGTGTTTCCCTACCCCCTGCAGCTCCCAGCCTTCCCTGGCAGCACACACTCCATGTTCCTGAGGGATCACCATTCACAAACCAGGCAATTGAAATAAACAGATGACTGTCAACAGCTCTGAAAAGGCATCTTTGAAGGCCTTGTGTCAGCCAGCAGGAACCACTAAATACAGGGACACAGCTGAGCTTACATCATATGTGCATCTTCTTCTCTTAGGGAATTTCCTTGGGATCAATTAATAGAAGCAACTTCACTCTCCTTCACTATTGACGTTATTAGGAAACTTTTTAGAACCAAAAGCTTTCCAGCCACGCTCTTCTTGATCAGAGGCTTTGCAGCACTCAGGGGACAGTGACAGGAATCTTTCCTGCAGTGTTTAAGTAGGACTTTACAAACCTTCTCACCATCGAGTCCAGGAGCTCCATCCCGCCCATCCTTGCCAGGAATGCCCTGCAACCATGCACAGCACATGTTAAGGTCAGGAGGAGACTCTGTGGTTTGCAAAACACAATCACATCAAAGAACCTCTGGGCATTGGGTTGTGCTGGGAGGATTGTCATTAACAGCAGTACAACTGGAGTTTAGTCCAACTGGGATTGCACTGGAGGTTACAGAGACCCAGAGCACAAGTTTGGCAGCAAAGATGGCAAGAAACAGTTTTTTTCCAATTATATTTTATCTCCTGATCCACAAGCAAGATACCAGTGAGATCTGTATCCTATTTAATTGACTTACAGGTTCTCCAATGAGTCCACGAGCCCCTGGGTTTCCTTTTGGTCCAGGTTTACCCTAGAAATCAACAATAGATCCTGAATTAGCCAGGACACAACTCTTAAGAACCATCTGTCAACAAAGATAATACTCAAACTCTCTGGGGACATTTGATTCAGTTTGGGCTGGCTCCTCTCCTGTTCACATAGGTTTGGAGGTTCTTTTGGGACACACCAGGAAACTGGCCCAATGCTGGCTGCAACATTTGGGAAAATTCTTGATTGTTTCAAGGAATGGGAATGTAAGATCTGATCCCTGTGCTCCAGGTTGTAGCAGCACTTTGACACCTTATTAATCAGGCATCTTTATAAGAGTTAAACATCTCATTTTTGAGAGGATACTTTCATCTCTTTCACCTCCCTCTCAAGCAAACCAAGGGGGCACAAGCCACAATAAACCTGTGAAACGGATTCCTTGGAATGTCACATCCCATATTGGAGCAGATGGGTGTTTGACTGCACTTACAGTATCTCCTTTGGGCCCCCGGAATCCCTGAGGTCCTTTGCTTCCTTGTTCTCCCTGTGACACAGGAGGAAAAGCCATTAAGCATCTTCATCACACAGTGACAAATTGAGGTTTTGAGGGTGGAATGAGGAGGGTTCTGTGCTGTTTGTTGGTGTTAACAGAGGTGTGAGCACACACATTCCCCCAGGAGCTCAGCTGTACTTTCTCAGTTACACTCTGTGATTCCTGACACACTTTTTGCAGCAGGGACTTTGCCAACAATCCCTCAGGGCAGGGACCTTCTTCCCCATCATTTAATGAAGCAATTTCCTTAAGCAGAAATAGAGTGGGCGAAAAACTTTAATATTTGCTGTCTAGATACTGTTTGGCATAATGAAAAGTTTGGTGAGAAAATGCCTGATTTTATTTTAGTTTGGATGAATTTAATCTATAATTGCAAGGACTAGTGAGGGGTCCCCAGAGGGTAGGACTGCCTCAGGGTCAGTGTGGTCTGTTGGCTGCTGTGGGCAGGTGGAGGTACCTGCTGTAAAGCAGATGCCATATTATCAGAGAATCCCACGGTGGTTTGGGTTGGAAGAGACCTTAAAGACCATCTTGTTCCACCCTCCCTGCCATGGGCAGGGACACCTTCCTCTATCCCAAGTTGCTCCAAGCCCTGTCCAACCTGGCCTTGAACACTTCCAGGGATGGGCAGCCACAGCTTCTCTGGGCAACCTCTGCCAGGGCCTCCCCACCCTCACAGGGGAGAATTTCTTCCTAATATCTAAGCTAAGTCTACCCTCATTCAGCTTAAAGCCATTATTATCCACAATACAATAGGCAGGGTGAAAATAATATCCACAATAAGATAGACAGGCCAGTGGAAAATGCTCTTAGAGAGGCTACAATGCTGCAGGTGCAGCTCAGGTCCTGCTTGGCTACACTAAGGAGGGTACAGGAGTCTGCCCAGTGTGCAGGTTTGGTGTTCTCCTACACCTCAGCCCAGAGCTCGGCAAAAGGATGAGGATTCCATCTTCAATTTACAACTATTCCTGCTTGTAGCAAAAACCCTTGTGAGCTGTGAGCACTTGGGAACAGACCAGGCTCAAAGAATGAAAGCTCAGGATGATGCTGATTCTTCCTCCAAAAGTAACCCATATTCCCCTCTCCAGGGCTTGCCCACAGCTGCTGATGCTCAGGGAAGGGCAATGAAGCACAGAGAGCAATGGAAACGAGGGGAACTTATTCTGGCATGGGGCACAACTGGAGGAAAGGCATCACGAGGTCTGGGCCAGGTGAAACAACATTGCTGTCACTGGAGGGAAAAGGGCAAAGGGAATAATCTGCTGGAGGTGGTCAGCACACCCTCCTGTTCACTGGCAGCAGGGCTTAGAGCAGGAGGAATAAACTTCAGGCTGTGCTTGTGGAAGTCAGAGCCGTGGAGAGCCTGGGAAGTGGATACATACAGCTTTCCCTGGAGGTCCTGGGATTCCAGGTGGGCCTCTGAAACCGATGTCACCCTGCAAAGAACAGACATCACTGTAATGCTGTGGTTGGCAGAGGATGAAGTAACAGTATCCCCACCTTGTACCTCAGCCTGACAAAGCACAAAGACACCCCGTATTTCCTCCTCATTTGCAGAACAGACTTGCAAAAGATCCCCCTCTGAACAACAGGTTTTAACTCAGGATCTCCCCACCTTTATCTCTCTGATACACTGATACCATTCATGGTCTTGCTCTCTTGGTAACACATTTATTCCTAAATAAATGCATGACTTCATCAAATTCAAAACTATTCAGGCTGCTGGTCAAGGGACCATGACAAGAAGCCATGAAGAGCTGGAGATTAACCCTGTTCTCACTGAGGAGACTTCTCATGTCCTGAAAGTCTTTGTCCATCAGTGTTTCTTTGGCTTTTTCTTGTAAAGAGACAGAACAAAAAGTGAAATGAAACCTTCCTCTTTTTTTTTTTCTTTATTCTGCAAGATTCTTCAGCATTGTCAGCCTTGCAGGGACAGCACTTTGTTCTTCTGGTTGGAATATTTCAATGTGGCTGGCTCTGACCCTGCCAGTGCCCTGAAAATGTGGATTCTCCTGACATTGGAAGGTTGTTCTGGTAGGGGGGTGCACAGCCCACACTTTATACCTGCACAAGTTTCCCAGTGGAATTCAGTAAGGATAAGTGCAAATGGCACCTCTTACAAGACAAACTGGTGCTGGAGGGGAAAAAAACAGAAGGTTTTTCTTACTCTGTCACCAGCTGGACCCATTGGACCAGGGAGGCCTCTTAGTCCCCTCGGGCCCTAATTAAGAAAGCAAATCAGTTAAAAATCAGCCACTGTTCAACACGAAAGGGCAGAACAGCATGAGGTAAAAACTCATCAACACAGAAAACATTCAGAAATAGTGAGGAACAGCAGAAAGCTCAACTTTCTGATGCACAAACAGGATACCCTTTTGGTGACAACCCCTTAGCAGTGACACTGTGCTGACAGCCCACATCAGACATTCAGCATCCCTGTGCTCTCCAGCCCACCATCCAGGCTCTCAAGCCAGCCCAGAGCTCAGGTCCACCAAAAAGGTGTCCAGGGCTCTGCCAGGAACTCATCCAAGGTGAGGTACCCAAAGCAGGACCTAAATTAAAGCTCAGTGAAACAGCACGATTTGTTTTTTCACCAGCATCAGTTTTCACATCTGTAATTCGGCAGAGGCAAGAGCTGTTTGTGTAACCAAGGTGATTGATGGCTCGATTGAGTTCCACAGTGAAAAGGTCATGGGAATTGGTCAGAAGAGGAGGTGTTACCTGCAGGCCAACACTGCCAGGAATGCCTGGAGGACCGGGAGGGCCAGGGTTACCCTGGGAGAGAAAAATCAATTAGAAAAGAGGAGAGAGAGGCTCAACACACAGCCAGGGACCTCCCTCCCAGATTTCTCTTCAGAATTATAGGCAATTTCTTCTACATGCAAGAACATTTGGATCAGTCAGGAATTTATCCAAGTGATTAATGCAGGGCTTTTCCTGAGCTGACATCCCTGCATGGGAAACCACAGGTGTTAACTCAAAGTGATCCTGACATGATGATCATTGGGAAGATGAATTTTCCTGGAGAGGTAGCACATGGTCCTACAGGCACAGCAATGGAAGTCAACACACTTCAGTCATAGTAACTTCTCCTTATTCAGCCAGTTGCCTTATTTCTCCCTGTCTTCTTGAAAAATCACTTATTATGGAGCTTTTAAAGAGAAAAATCCTCCCCCGTCCCTTTTAAACCAAAGCTTACCTTCTCTCCTTGTTTTCCTATTTCACCAGGTTCCCCTTTGTGACCAGTGTGTCCCTAGAAATAAGAGTTATGATTATTCACATCTTGTTTCAAAATTTAAATTTTGTGAGACTGTTGTAAGACCTAAATCCCCATAACATGAAGAAGTCATGGGGAAAATAATCTATAGGTGTGTACAGAGATCTCTTCTGGGGGTGGCTATCCATGTACCATTCCTGTGTTAGGTACCAGTACCAGAATTGATGTAGGTTCAGGAAATGCTCAGATTTGGTTTTCCAAAGTGACTTGCAGGCCATAGGTCTCCGGATACAATTCTCAAATACAGACCAGGAAGCAGAACTCAGTTCCCGTCACCTTTGAAAATGGGGCTGAGTCACTTCTGAAAACCCCATTCTGCATTTTTGACCTCCTTTTTTAAGTCATCTTTAATATCTCCATCATCAAGCCTGCAAAGAAATACAAGTCTCACTGAAATCTTTTATATAAAACTCAGATTCAATTTGCATCTTGGCTCCCTTCCTATCATTGTGGGAGAGACCCAGACTAACTTCAGCCATGGCAGATGTTATTCCTCACCACAAAAAAGGTCCTGTGCATCATTTGCATCATAACTGGAGAGCTTCTCAGGCTTTTCCATTTCATGAGCTACGAATTTTGAGTAATTATGCCCTAAATATTGTGTAGTTGTAATGATATTTATGATTCAGTGCAGAGACCAAACAGACCCAAGAAAGATCAGTTCAAGAGGAATTGAGAAGATTTCCCAGGAGTTGTCCCACTCCTTGCCAACTTCTAAATCCTGCTGAAAGAACTAGAGTCACTTATTACTTTGTCTCACTGCAGGAGTGTAACACACTGCACAGACTTCAAGTGAAGAGAGGACAGAGGAGATGTTTGACTGCTGAGGGAGATTTCCTGAGGGTTGAAACCTTGAATTTATGTACCAGAGCCCAACAACATAAACACAAAGCTGCCTCATGGTACACTGGCTATAAAAACAACAATCAAATTGTATTTAATTATATAAGTTATGTTTTGCTCCAGTAAGATCTGCTCCCCTGTGAGCACAATTTCAGAACTGGTGACATTTTTACAGCTCTCAGGTCTTGGAAAGGCAGCCCTGAACTCCTGCCTCTGCTTGCTCCTGTCCATCAGCTGTGCCCCACAGGGCTTGCAGAGTGTTTTAATCCATGCTCACCCCATGCCAAGGGTTAAATTTCATTTGTAGGAATAAATTAGGCAAATGCAGGGTTGGTTTGGGAGGTGTGGAGTCTACAGGAGACAGGGACTGTGTACACAACAGTTTAACCCCAGGGGTTCATAGTGGGGTTTATTTTGGGAGACAGATCCTTGTGCAGGTGGTGTTTCCTTACCTTGAACCCTGGCATTCCTGGGGGACCTGGGGGACCCTGTGGGCACAGAGCTGGGCACTGCAAGGAACAGAAACAATGTGGTTCAGCAAACACACACAGCACATCCAGGGAGGCTGCTTTCATCACCAGGGAGAGGTGAAAAGGTCACGTGGGTTTGGGCTCTACGTCCACCAAATCTGATGGAAGCACAGCATCATGTATTGACCAGCATTTCCCCATGGAAAGGGGTCCTAGAGGTCTCAGGCCCCCAGTAACCCATAAAATAACAATTTATGAATGGACTGCTTCACTTTGAGCATGGGCTGTGAGACACTCTAAAAGTTCACAGTGTCCACAGTCAAAAATGCTGAAGAATCTGAGTTCCCCAGTGAATCTGGATTGGTGCCTTGTAAATCATTAGGAACATATTTAATCCTCTGCATCGATTGACCCCTATTGATTTCCTTCAGCCAACTCCCTAAGTGAAACAACGACAAGCATTAGAGTTTATTGGAAGGGGACCAATAGAAAAATAACTCCAATACCTATAAGCTGGTATCTGCAGATGTTTAGGGGTGAGTGAGCCCCTGGTGGGAACTCTGACTGGGAACAAATCAGAACATACATGGAAATTTAATGGAGAAAAGGGCCATACTCTAAAAACTTCATAAATAGGGAATGAGATTTTCTTCCACAGCTTTTCTTTTATTTGTTTGTTGGGGTTTTTTTCCTTTTAATAAAACCTCAGGCAACACCTCAGTAGCAGAAATTTAATTTTCTAGTATATTCCACAGAGTAACTTAAATTAAACTTGCAGAAATAGCATCATTTTCTATTAACTTCCACGTGATGTGCCATAAGGCAGCCTGAACTGACTCTGAGCTTTTTTTGGGGCACATCAATTAGAAAACCAAAGAAGCTGTCACAACAACAGCTGTGAAATCTGCAAATGTCACTCCCATCGCTCATGGGCTCAACACTCCTTTCATTCCCCTGAAAGAAAGGAATCAAGGCTTTCTCCTAAGGAAAGAAGCCTGACCAAAGCATATGCCCACAGGAACCCGGTGCTACCATCCATGGAAATAAACAGTGCTCCACACACAACCTTTTCTGTGGCAAAGCAGGACTGGAAACGTGCATGAAAAGCTGTTGTCATTTACCAAATGCTGAAGTTGTTCTGTAAATGAAGGATGTATGCAAAATGTGCATTTTGGAAGGCAAAGATCAAGGAAAAAAATCAGCACTAGAATCAGAATGGTTTGGGTTGAAAGGGACCTTAAAGTTCATCTCCTTCTACCCCTCCCTGCCATGGGCAGGGACACCTTCCACTAGCCCAGGTTGCTCCAAGCCCCGTCCAACCTGGCCTTGAACAATTCCAGGGAGGGGGCAGCCATTTAAATCTTGTAAATACACACACCGCTCTTGTGCATTCTGTGGTGAGGTAATTTAGACCCATATCTGCAGGTCTAAATCTGTGTTAAATGGTCTGAAACTCATCCAAGTATGACAACCAAAAGTCACATCAAGGATTGAAACAAAACATATTTTCATGCTACACAAAATAAACCTACCTGAAGGTCCCCACCGCCGTCGGGAAGGGTGCCTGGAAGACCCTGCAATTCAGGAAATGTGGGATTTTAAATACAACAAGACAAACAACAGGTAGAAACACAAGTCCTCTGGATCAGCATGAGGCATGTACCCAGACCCACCCACAGCCTAAAGTGCAGCCCCTGAACCTGGAGCATTATGAGCTGCACCAGTCCCCCAAAACAGACACATCAGGGGTGTAACCATCCTCTGGAGATGCACAGCTGGGCTTGGTTAAAAGCCTTCAGCCTTAGGTGATGAAGGCAACAATTAAAGAGCAGCAGCTGTACCTGGCTTCCTCCTGGCCTGGGGAAAGCTCCTTGGGAAAGACCTCCTGATCCCACTGTTCAACCCCCCAGAGAGGACACAGCAAACCCAAACCAGAGACTTGCTGGCTGCAAGCCTCACTTGCTGGCCCTACACGAACAGGTCATGATCCAAGCAACCACATAAACCTTCCTCGAGAGAACAGCAAGCCCACCCTGTGCTCGGTGTGGGGCAAAGCCGGGGTGTCACCGGGTTCCTCCACTCACAGAGCACAAATAACAAACAGGAGATCAACACATCCAAGTGCAACCAAGGAAAAGTCACTGCTCTCCTCGGGGCAGGGTGTTTATGGGCTGCTGAATGCTCATGGCAATGGCAGCAAATAAAAAGGGCACGTTATGGAAGCAAGGAGAAAATTCTAGACTCCCCCCGGGAATTTTCTCACATTTATTTGCGAGTCTCAACTTACGGGGGGTCCAGGTGGTCCAGGAGGCCCTGGGAATCCTGGCAGACCAAAAGGTCCCTAAAAAGAGAGAAAAATAATAAGAATTCCCCTTCAATGGAAATGTAAAGGGATGTGAACAGTGGTTACCAAATACCAGTGTGTATTTTGAATGTGGGACAACACATCTCAAATGGGGCTAAACTGCACCTTTCCTTCTGCAGAGGCTTCTGTGATTGCACAGAGAGCACCAGATGCACATGGAAGAATAGGGATTAGGACAGAAGGGCATATCCCTGCTTCCACTGGCTCTGCACCTCTCTGGTGGAGCTGTGGGCACCCAAAAATGTGCTGTGCTTCTGCAGAATGGGGTCACCCAGACCAGTCCTGTTCTGTGCAGTGGCTTCCTTGGGGATGCTGAAAGTACACACCAGCTGGTATCTAATCCCTGTTCTGGTGACACTGGCTGCTCTTCTGTCCTTACTCCCAGCTGGTGAAGGAAGATACGGCTGCACATCCTTGTCATTGCAGTGGTTGACTGGGGTGACCCTGCATAAGCTGATACGGGCGTTTGTGGGGCTCGTAGTGTCTTGTGTGGGGTAAGAGACTTCAGAGTGGGGTAAGAGACCAAAAGTGAACCTAACTCTTCTGTGGTTGTGATACAGTCAGAAAATGAGGAGTAAGTGGTAGGAGAAACTCACAGAAGGACCCCGAAATCCATGTCCACCCGGGAGCCCACTGGGTCCTGGAGGCCCCTGTTGAAGAGAGAGAAGAGATTTCACACCCATGCTGACCTTGACACCCCAAAGCCCAGGGCTCAGCAAACAGTCTGGCTGCACCCACTTGCCCAGTCCCCCCGAGGAGCTCCCTCCTGCACCCAGACCATCAGCTTACCCGTGAACATCAGTGGAACACACTCCTGGCACCACTGTGCACTGCCAGTCTGCATCCCTCAGACACAGGGCAGCCCTGGAACGCCCCAGAAACCCACCAGACAAAAGCTACCCCAGAACTGGACACTTCCAGTGATTACAAGGCTGCTGTGCCTTGTATTTGCCAATTTTCCCAGAGTAAGGGCAAGGATAGAAAACACACAAGGCCAGTGACCTGCAGGACTCCACATTCCTCTGCCTGGCACAGGAGAGGGACCCAAGGCCTGGGGTGGGTTTGTAACACTCAGGGTATCCAATAAAGCCAAAACAATAATTTAAAACTCTTTTAAAAAAATATTCCTGTTACTTACTGGAGGTCCTGGTAGTCCTTTGCCCTGGAAACAACATTTAAAACAGTAAAAGAACACTTAGAAACTGAACATACAGGAAGAAAATAAAACCTCCAAAAAAGCTGCTTGATTTTTTTTTCTCTTTTAAGTTTTTCTTAGCACTCCCCTGTTCCTAATTATTATAATTTGCAATCAGAGCAGAGCTCGTGTCTTGATGAATCCTTTTGTTGCCTCTAATAATTTGTATTCCCCTTACACTGCTGTTACCTACGAGACATCTCTAAGAAAAGCAACGTACAGGGACACGATAGTGGGACACAGAGAGTTAGGAGGACAACATTCTAGTTTATCTGCTTCTCCTTTTTTTCCTTTTAATTTTTGTTAGACATTAGGTAATGTCTCATAATTTCAATAGCATTTGGTATGTTAGTCTGCATCCCAAGTTGGTTTGCTTTATAGCATCTCAGAGACCAAAAATAGGCCCTGTGTTACCAGAACAGGTCATACATGCATATTTAAACACTTGAAATAATATATTCACTCATTCAGGCTTTGATCCCTTTGTCTGGGATATGAAGCTTCCCATCTTCTCTTGGTGATGGTTTTGGCTTAATATTACACACTTCTATTACTTGTGCTGTTCCTGGAGGTACTTACAGCTGGTCCAGGTGGCCCAGCAGGTCCTAATGCACCCTATGGGAATAAAACAGGATACAAATTAGCAGGAATAAAAGAGACACCTCCATATGGGTAGTGAACAATGCCTGCTCTCCTTGACACCAATCTTTGATTGGAGACTCCAGGGTTGTCTTGCAGAATCAGGACACAACTGGAGATGCTCAGCTGAATTCACAAGTATAAGGACAGAGACTTACGAATAATAATGATTCTGCCATTCCTGATTAATTGCTTGATTAAAGAACATTTTAAGATAGTGGTGACGGATGTTCAGAACTGGCCCCAGCAACTTTCTTCATCATTTGCTCCTAAAAGACTAAACAGACACTTTTGGAACTCCCAGTTGGCCTCTGATTAGTCTCCACGAACATCTAAACATTCATAAATTGAATTATATTTATTTGAAATATTCTCATTCATAACACATTCATATTGTTGGTCCAATGACTAAATTATCTGAAACTATTCACAAAATTTGGACTCATCCTAGTGAATTTTATTAGTTCATACATTTTCCCTTCAAGCAAAGGCAAAGATTTGGCAGCTTCTGCCTCTTCATGAGCTTCCTTGGCAAACCCCCCATCTCCTTTTCTGAATTTGCATTCCTACTCTTAGGCCTGACTAGAGCTTGGTGATCTTATGTCTTAGACTAGAATTAAGTCACTCTTGAAGTTGTTAAGTTCCTGCTTGGCTAAAGATAAGAAGACAGAGAGACCTCCTTAACCCCTTTGTTGTATTGCAGAGTTGCCAACTGGCTGCCAGACTGTAAAATTAATTCTGGGTAGTAATTCTGAAACAGAATCACAGAATGGTTTAGGTTGGAAGGGACCTTAAAGATCATTTTGTTTCGCTCCCCTTGCCATGGGCAGGGATACCTTCCATGAGACCAGGCTGCCCCAAGCCCTGTCCAACCTGTCCCTTTTTTTAATCCCGACCCATAAGCTCTCAGTCACCTCCTTGTCCATCCCCAGTGAATGGAAATGTAAAAATGAACAAAATTAACAAAACAAAAAAAAAAAAAAAAAAAAAAAAAAAAAAAACTAAACCCCCACCAAAACCCAAAAAACAAAATCCCAAAATTCCAGTGTGGTGGGTTGAGCCGGCCAAGAGACACTGGGTGTCTGACTGATGCTCTCAGATCTGAGACCCTTCTTGAAAAAGCCATGGCAGGCAGCTGGTGAGGGCAGAGTGATTTGGTCACTCCTTTAAAAAACTTAAAAAAGGGAAAGAAAAAAAAAAAAGAAAGAAGCAGTGGAGGGATGCAGGGACAAAGCAGGGACGTCTCCTTGCCCAGGGACAAAGCAATTACAGCACGAGGCTCCCTCAGCCTCTCACCAGCCCAAACCTGTTTTCCAAACATCCCCAAAATGCTGCACAGAAACATCTCAAGAAGGATGTCCTGAACCAGAATTAAATGGTGTCTGCCCCTAGGATGAGGAGAACAAGGTGGATGGGCAGACCTGGCAAATATCCCAACACACTCTGCTGCTTGTTGTGATCCCAGGGATGACATCTGCCCTCTCCCAGCGCCCTGCGTACCGAAGGAGATTAGAAATATTTTCCCTTGTTAAGCTTAAGGAGAAAGAGGACCCAAGGCCTCATTAGGAGTGGTCTTGTGAGCAGGGGACTGTAATCCAATAAAAATCAACCCAGGGCAAATGTCAGCTCATTCATTTCTCTTGCTGCAGGTTACTCTGCTTTTCCTCCAGCCACTTTCATCTTTAGGCCAAAAGTTTCTGCAACTACTGATGGTTGTAAGAGACAACCTGGGATCTCTTCTTGCAAAGAAAACATTGAATTCCTGGCACCTCCTGGCTCACACCCTAATTCTGAAACCAGCTGCATTGCCCCTTTCTGCTTTGGCCAATGTGCCAAAAGGTTGGCAGAGCACTCAAAATGCCAAATGTTGGCACTTTACACTCCCTAATTTTGATATCTTGGAGGGTAGAAAGTGCAACATCCAGCAGTGAACACTCCTGGTACAATTAGAGATCATCAAGTCCCTGAGTTGATGCAACTGCATCAAGTTCAGAGGAGAGACTCTAATTTACATCTCAATTTTAATAATATTGTCTGACTCAAATCGTTCTCCTGGTAACAATGTTCTTTCTCTTTTGATTAGAAAACAATATCATCATAATTTTCACTTTATAAAAATAAACTTTTTGAGTACACAACTATGGAGCATAGAAAATACTTGATTATTATGACATTCATAAATAAGAATTAACAATTATGTTTTTCTTATTGCTTACAGTGCAAAGCAACAAATTTCAAAATGGCCTTCGAAAACTTTCCAATGAAAGACACCAGTATCTGGCACAGAGGTAAGAACCCAGCTCATTCCTAGCTGAGAATAAAGGATTTTTAAAATTGGAAAAACAAGTAGGCTTGATTTGATCAGTCTGTAAGCAGAACCATGAGAAAAGCTAATGGATGCTGAGAGCAACAGGAGATATTTAAGATAAAAACCCTTTTTGGTGTGCTGCCTGCACTGCTCTGTGTCCCTGGTCTGATGTGAATCACTGTTGGACTGATGGCATGTGACACAGAGAGGAAAGGAAATGTTGGGCAATAATGTGTTACTGAAAACTGGCTTCCACGAGCCCACTTCCCTAAACAGCTTCACTCTCAGACACTCCAGTCCAGAAAAATAAGCTTATTTAGAAAAAAAATCACTGTGCTAAGCATGAATTCAAGCCCCCAACAGTAAGTAGGCACCTTATTTCAGTGAGTTGTGTGAGACTGAAATATGTTCTAAAAGACAGGGAGAAAAAAGGCAGTCGGGTAACAACGCTGTCCATTCAGAGTGCCAAAGCTTTCAGAGGTTTTTTCTTCTTCCAGGTTTTTATTAGACCAATTAAAACAATTTTCCAGATGGACCACTGACCCTGAAAAGCTCCCATGAATGATGGCAGGTCCCAGGTTTGCCCCATGCCGACAGATTGAGTTACAGGACATGGGAAAGCACATCAAACCAGAGCATGGAGCGAGGGCAGCTCTGTCTGGGTGCTCCCACCAAACAGCTGAAGAGGAAGTTCTGGTGCCCAGAAATTATCTGCTCAATTACCCTGCGAGCCAGGAGCTGTGTGCTAACGTGGGCATGGGCAAACAAGGCCACCCAGCACAGAACAGGGGCACAGAACTGCCCACTGTGTGTGGTCCTGAGCTTTTCTATTTTAGAAATCAGGGATCAGTTCCCAGAAGGCGCTGGACTCCTGCCACAGACTGTCTGAGAGTGGCCAGGATTGTGCAGCTCTGGATCTCTGGGGACAAAGATGGACACAAGGGACAGCAAAGGAGTGGGATTTAGTGTGGTGGTGACGGACAGAGGCTTGGAGCTGTGACCAAGATATTTGGAGCTGTGACCAAGATGTTTGGGTCCTGCCACTCGACATTCCCGGTGACCACGCAAACTTCGCCTTGCACATGGGAGAGGAAGAAAAACATTCCAAAGATACATGCCTGCATCACTCATCCCTTTGACTGAATGAGACAGCCCATAGATTTCTGTGCTTTGAGCAACTCCTTGGGGCAACAAACAGATTATTGAGATATACATGTTACCAAAATCCACCTTTTTTAACCTCCCATCACTGCAGCCCCGACTTCAAGAGGCCAGTAAGCCAGCTGTGGATACAAGCCTCATCTTCCCAGCTGGGAGACAGGAGAATAGCCATGCTGGATCACAATCTGTGCTGAGTGGCTCATTAATGTTTAGTCCTTAATGTCACAAGGAAGCCTAAGAACCTTTCTGGCCCCACTGTGGGTGATCTGAAGGACATCTGTAGCATCCCTGGCAGTCATTTCTCTATCCCTGTGGTGCCCTTTAGCAGAGCTGTAATATGCAGGAAGCAGAAAAAACTCTTATTTCTTGCTAAGCTGGTTGGGGAACACTATGGCCAAGCAACTAATAATGCAACCATATGGACAGCCCCAGAAATAACAAAAGGCAAAAGTTTAAATAATCAATCCACAGTAACAGTAATTATAAACATAACAGAGCTGCCTACTCAGACTGCAAATAAAGGCCAAATTAGCTTCACTTTGATAAACTTCATAATTAAGTCTGTTAACTGCTTCAAGAAACTTTTTGGATACTTGAAATATCACTGGAGTTGTTCTGCACTGGTACTCCCAACACCGAGGCAACCCAAGCCTGTTCAAGACCATGTGAAAGAAAGATGGGTCTCATGGCCTGTCCAATGAAAAGCCACCTGGGGCTTCATTTCAAGGGTCCAAGTGTTCTGTAAGGGTTTACATCAGAATCAACACTTGAATGTCCCCGGTTTACATAGGAATGAGAAAACCATCAGTACAAACAGGAAAAATGTTCATTTAAAGGGATTTAGGATCTAATGTGGTACTCACACGGTCTCCTGGAGGCCCATTTGGGCCAGGTGGGCCATCAGTTCCTGTTAAACCCTGTAAAATTAAAAAAACAATCAAAACAGTGTCAATTATGTGTCTCGAAATTTTTCTCATACTCCTTAATTCAATCAAGAGATGCCTTCAACTCTTAAAATTGCTCCTGATATGCAACATATATGCGTAGATCCAGGACCAATTTTACTTCTCCAGTAGAAACAGAAAAGTTCATGAGACACTTCAGGAAAACACTTGTGCCTGTGTGAAATATTTAAAGGACCTAAGAGAAGATGATGAAATACTCACATCCACTCCAGGAAGTCCAGGCAATCCAGCTTCACCAGCTGCTCCAGGCTTCCCTGGTGCACCTTTTGGCCCCTACATCAGATAAACAGGCAATTATTTTCCACATAATAGCAAGAGAAATGTGGCATGTGTTGATACAGGCTACAAGAGGGAAGCTCATTTGTAGATGTGTTAATCTTACACCGTGCAACATGGAAGAATTCCATGACAGGAGATGAATCTTGCTATGAATCCATATCCAAATCCTAAATTCACTTCAGTGCTTTGGCTCAGTTCCACATACTCATAAGCTGTTCTTAGCAGGGGTTAGAAAGGGATGTAGCAAGTGGCCAAAGCTGTGCCACCAGGTACAATTTTGAGCACCCCTTGGCAGAGTGAGGGGCTGAAGCAGACTCAGACCAAAGCCAAAAATAACCATGTATACCTGGCTTGGTGCCAGTTTCATTATACTGGTGCTGCACCAGATGCTTTATTTCATTTATTTATTTCATTAATTTGTTTAATTTGCATTTTATTTCATTTATATCCTCAGTTAGCCATGAAGTGGTAGAATGTGTTCGACCCTTGGACCACTGCTGAGCATCCCCAGTCCTGCATACTCCTTCTGGTAATTCTGCAGCAGGTGAAGAGGAAAGTGAGGCAGGAAGTGTCAGCTCATGCCCTGTGTCCCTCTCAAAAGCATGAACAAGTCAATATCTACCAGAAAATACTTACTGGTGGGCCTGGCAAACCAGGAGGGCCTGGTTCCCCCTAAATGAAAGAGAAAAGATGTCAGTGTTAGTGCAGAAACTCTCTTTGCTGGCTTTTTCCTACAGTGTGCTTCCCAACTGTCACAGAGCTCAAATCTTCCTTTGTGCCCACTCCAAGATTTACCACTCTCAGCCTTATGGAGCTGATGCTTTAAATCCTGCTACCCCCTAGGCAGGATGAGTCTGGATATGCTTTTCCACACCCACGACAGCAAATTTAGTGAAATCCACATCCTCAGCCTTCCAGGGAGAACCAGTGCTCTGGAATGGTGTCAGCACCTCCAACTTTTTTCAGACACAGAAGTTATTTGCTCTTGGGGTTGTCTGCAAGCGGGGCAGCGAGGAAGCTGGAGGCTATCAAAGCTTCCTGACGAAACAGAGGGATACAGGGATAAGCACCAGGTGTCCCAGGCACAGTATGAAACTGTGGTACTGCCAGGAGCTGGGGACTACCAGAAAGTGAAGAATGAACGAACTGTCTACAATGATTTTCTTCATGTGACTAAACCCGGACAGGAAAAGCAAATGAACAAAGCCCCCAACTGATTTCCACCTAATCCAATTGCACAGTCTTGATTAAATACAATTTTTGTAAAATATTTCAAAAGCACTCATTTTTTTTCCTATTCTAATGGAAAGCTACTTTTAAGAACAGCATTAAAGGCGTTTGGGAGACGGTATTTTAAAAGTCTTTAATCACTTCTAGCTCAATCAGCTGCAACGTCGTTCGGACCTCAGATAATGAAATATCTGTATTTTATTGTTAGCCCCCAAAAGAAGCAAACATTTTTAAACAGCAGGAGCTTCACTGGAGCTTGGTTTCCCAGCTCATCCCACAGAAAATCACTTTGTGTCCCAGTCTAGATGGTACCCTGCCCTCCTGGCTTTAGGATAAGTGCACTGAGCATTGTGAGAGGCTCAGGGATTGTGGGCGAGTAGAGGGGAAGGGGCATGTTGATACCCTGGAAGAAGAAAATCTATATGGAAAATGGGTGGTTATTAACAGAGCAAGGCTGGAAATAACACCAGCCCACCGTGGCCCTGGTAATTAGGAGCCAGGAGGCAGGATGCAAAGCTGTGGAATTTATAGCATGTTTCTATATTTACTGTGAAGTCTGTGGGCAAATCTTTCCAGACTGGCTGCCTTGAGTTGCTCAGGCAAGGATTTATGTACTGCAGAGGGGGACTGACCAGAGGGTCCCTGAACAGAAGGATCTTTATGCTCTGTCTTGCTGAAGCAACTCCTTCACTACTCTTTGCCTACAGCTTTTCCATAAATAGTTATCAGTATCATAGGTGGGGAAGGTCCTTTGGTGAGGAGATGAAAGGAGCACTTCTTTTGAAATGAAAGGGCATCTGGAAATGGCAGCAGAGGTGGTTTACTCCCTTCTCCATCACCTGAGGTTGCCAGCCCCTTGCAAATTTTTCTTGCCTGCGTGATGGCAAATCTGCACAGCGAGGTCACAGCATCAGCAAAGGCTGTTGGGGACCATCTTAAACCTTGATTCTGCCATCGTGGACCCCTGTGGGGACTCTGCAGGAGCACCAGAACTTCAGAGAGCTGAATCAAAAGCCTACTCAGTGTTTATACCCCTAATGCCAGATCACTGGGAATTAGAGGCAAGGGTTGTCAGCAAAAGGAAATGCTCTCCTGGTGCTGTGTGAGAGAGAAGGAAGTTTACTGTTTCTCAGCAAGTCTAGCCAAGAGAAAGAAAGCAGGGGAAGAAAAAAAAACCCTTGATTTTTGAAAAGTGACAATTGCTTATTAGCAATTTAGGGAATTACATCCCCAGAAATAATTCACAGGAACTTGCCACTAATTCCTTTGATCACAACATGCTGTTTCTACTCTTGGGAGAGAGACATTTTTCTTGTTACTGAGTCTGAAATGCGAAGCGTGTTAAAGGCTTCAATTATGAAATATTTCGGAGGGACTTAATGTTGCAGCTCCCACTGAAAGGCAGGAATGAAAGCAGGACCTTTGAGAAATTGTGCTGATGGGGTTCATCCAAGGAAACATCCTGAATAATTCAGCTGCATGTTCTGCATCTCTCACTGCTCACAGCTGATGGTAAGGGGTGGCTGAACACCTCAGCAGCACTCTTCCAGCTCAAAGACACCCGGCAACACTTCCTACACTGCATTCATCCGAAGCCATCTGTGAAGTTGGCCTGGCTGGAATGGCTTACAGAGTTCAGGAAAGCTGCACAGATACAGTCCAGAAAATTTCTGATTGCAATTTCAAAAGAGTCTTATCACCAAAAGAAAAGAAATAAAATAATGGTTTCATTCTGCAGTGGCACATTTGATGCTGCCACTCGGGATCCACATGATCCTCTCCATGCAGCACTAGGAAAATGCAGAGCAGTGCTGGATTCTATATACCATCATTTTTTTGGAGGGTACGGACCAAAAAAAGGGCAACCCTTAAATGGGGAGGCTGTGTGACTGTGCTCAACATCAGCCACAGCCCTGTATCTCTTCTCCTATGCAGTTCCTGAAAGGACTCAGTGTCCTGTTGAATAACAGGAACCATCCTGGTGTCTGACCCTGGGAAGCCAGACCATCTCACATGAACAGGACACCTGACATCCTATACCCATAGGAGGGATGGGGTTCAAGTCTGTTCAAATGTGAGAGTATTCCTGCACAGCCAAAACCCCAGGCTGAAGTTGGGACTGCAGGACTTTGCACCTTAAGTACTTTACTCAGCTGTTTGATTTATTAGGACAACATTCTTCATATTAATTAGATATTATGTGGTTCTGTCCCACAGGGAGCCTTCCAAAGCTTTTAGTTGTGGATAAAAGGGTGTAGGTTCACATGATCAGCATTTCCCAGGGCTCCCGTTTCCAAGAGCTATTGGAAGTGATGCTGGTGCTGTTCCAGAGTTGAAATGCAAAATATTCTGTAGAAAGTAGGAACTGAAAAACTACAGGTTTCTTTCCAATTGCCTCTCTGCAAAAGTTGAAACTTGAAGTCTGAAGGGCTTCATCCTTCCCAAACTCTTGTTTTTCCCTCTGTACAGAATCACAGCCAGCCTTTCCCAAAACCCACCGGCCACATGGATGCCCAGCTGCAGGGACTCCACAGGCTCACTGCTGTGAATGGCAACACGTGGCCTTTACCCTCTTCCAGGGCATCCCCTTAAGCTTTTTGTCACATCATGAAAAAGAGTGGAAGCTGTCAAGGTACCAGCTCTGAACTTCTCATGCTGCAACACCAGAGCGAGATTCCCAGTAAAACAGCCTCTGTTAACTGAAGGGACACTTGGAGGGACCGGCTGGAAATCAATGAGGTTCTCTCTTCAGACCAGCCTGGCTCATGGAGCCACTGGGAAAGCTCACCACTGCAGACACAAACACTCCTTGTTCACCAGATTCCAGGGAACTCAAACATCTTTTTTTTTTTAACCTCCTTATCCAAAAGAAAATGACCTGCATGGAATGAATAGATTTTTTTCAAGATTGCTTACAGGCCTAATTTCCATAAATGTACTTCAGACTAGCTTTAAAAAACCCTGAACTAATCCATAAGCAGCTCAGACAAGCACTACTCAAATTGGAAATCGAAGCAGAAACCCAGACTTTTGCATTTGATGTGGTCTTGTTGAAGGTCCTCCTGATGCTCATTTTGTCCACTTCCAACTACAGGGCACAATTCAGTCCTTATCCAACAGATATATGGAAACAGTATTTTTCATTTCTATGGAAACATCAATGAAAAGTAACAGATCAAGCTTTTCTTCTCCATTAAGTCCTGGGGTACGTGGTCTTCTACCTCCACAGGAGGTACTGTAAGGAGCTGCCTGCTGAGACAAAGGTTGTCCATTTCAGTTGCCTTTTGGGCCACTATAAACTCATGTCTGGCAACACACGAGCCAAATCCTGACATCTCTTGTGCCAAAATTAGGGATAACCATGCTGAAAAAGTTGATATAAAATAAAAGAGCAGTGTCCAGTGCTGCATATTTGATTTTCTTGTAACCTCTCTAGAACTGTGGATGCTCTGAGGCATCACATAATCCTCTCTCTGAACTACTGAACATGCAGTAACCCCAGAACACACTGTACCCCTGCACTCAACCCTACACAGATGCTAACACCAAAAGAGAAATATTCTACTTTGCAGGCAGGGTCATGAACCCCTGAGCTCTCCCTTGAGAAGGGGATTTATCCTGAAAAGAACCTGAGGCCACTCAGCACCTCCACTCGCTGTTCTGGCTCTTGCAAAATGAGGTCTCTTATGAGGAGGCTGATTCTCCAGGTCTGCCCACCCCTGAAGGATGTCCAAAGAAGAACAAGAGCAGCTTCTCTGCTCCGTTGGCTCTGCCTGTGCCCCACCCCTCACCCTGAGCCTGCCCCTGCCGCGCATCACTCACATCAATGCCGTCCTTGCCAGACGGTCCAGGGGGTCCTCGTGGTCCAGGAGGGCCTTGTGGTCCTACTCTCTGAAGGGACTAGGGGAAAAGGAGAGACAAGAGTTTATTTTTGCATCAGAAGAAACATATGGGCTGGATCAGAAAGCAACGGCCAAGTCCTACAGCTTAACCCTAAATCTGCACTGGCCCTCCCTCCCTCAGGGCCCCCTGCCAGCTGAGGTGGGCTCAGAATTGCTCTGCAAGGCTTTTTGGAAAACCTCTTTTGACTGGGCACATCCTCAGGGCTCCCCAGCTCGTTTAACTGGTGGCTTATCCTGGGAATCAGAGCTGGTCGCTGGGCAGCAAATGGGTTTGGTTGTATAGGAAAGGGTTCTCCCTGCCCACAGGCACGTTCTGGTTTGGGCAGAGGGGCAAATGCAAAGCCCACAGAACATAGGTGCCAAGTGCTTGGCAGTAATAAATAATGTATAGTCCCAGGCTGATAGGGTGATGGAAAAGCCAGGTAGACACCAACAAAGACAGGAGGAGAAAGGGAAAGTCTCCTCTCTGAGCAGGATGCTGTTTGAAAATCTGGGATTTTGGAAAGGTGGAGAAAGGCAAAAAAGGTCCAATAAATGACTTCTGTATGGAGAGGGCTCCAGAGAATAACTTGCTGTAGCTTTAGGGAACAAAGGTTTCATTGTAGAAGTAGCTCTGCTCGCAGCAGATGAGGGCAGCTCTGAATTCCCAAGCCAGGCTGCAAAAATTCCTCACTAACAATGAAAAACCTCACTGAGGAGTCACTTCCCCACACAACAATATTAACACCAGACAGGGAAGTTTAATACAGCTCCACGTCCGAAACGAACAGGGTTAAATATGCTGCTTTATAAGTGGAAAACTTGAAAATTGATTGAAGGAATAAATAAGAAATTCTGATTCAAATAAAGACCCAGGTCAGATCAGTCTCACTGACTAGCTGTTACTTCAGTGTAAAAGAAAACTGTTTCTCTTACATCCACAGGTCTCCCCCTCTCCCGAGGCTTTCTCTCTCATAACTGCAGTCCTGAATGGGAAGACAACACTTCCATGGAAATATGAAGCAGTGGTTTTTACACCGACCCACACAGGTACAAACCCAGATGCACACTTTTAATAAACTTTAGGCTAATAATCTCCCTATTGCCACATTTCACCCCACAGGCACAACATACACAGATCACTCTCTTTTACCCTTGCAGGTTTTTTCTCCAGCATAAGACACAAATTAAGTTTCTCACCTGAGCTGATGCTGTGACTAAAAACTGACACAGGGAGAGGAGCCCAAGAGTGGAGAATCCGGCCATGGTGCCCAGGCTCTGCCTCTCTCTGTTCCTCCTGGGCAGCTAAACCCTTTCTCCTCCAGGGTCCAGCAGATCCCTCCTCCTCCTCCTGGGTCTCAGCTTACAGAGCAGAGTCTCCTTGCCTCCAGATAAACCTGTGGCTCCAGCTGGAGGGGCAGAGCTCGGGAGCAAGGCAAGAGGGGCTGAGCCTGGAGGAGAGGAGGTTTCAGGAGGAGGTGGGAGAGGGAGGGGGAGCAGCAGGCAGCCAGAGCAGCTCTCATTCATGCCCTGCTGGGCAGCCACAGGCTCCAGCAAGCGGAGAGGAGCCTATGGAAGAGCTGGATTGGGAGACATGACACAGGAGTAAAACTGGGCTGCTCCAGCTGGAGATGTAAAGCTGTTCCTCGGGTCTCACCCAGGGCATTTCTCAAAGCCCATCAACACCTCTGGGCTGGACGGGTAAAAAGCAACACAGAGTGAGTTATTCAGTGCCTGAGGCCACCGAACTTCAGTAGAGACATTAATATACCTGGAATAAGTGCAAGATCACCACAGAGAAATGCCCTTACTGCTTGACAAGGTGCTTTGTTAGCTCTGGAGGTTACTCACATCTCCTTTGGGTCTTTTTAGGGTGATCTGAAGAACAACAAATGTTTCCTTGGAAAAGTGATGAATCCTGATCAGAAAACAGATGATCACAGACACATACAAGGAGGAAGGGAAAAAAGAGAAACATTCTCAAAGTCAGAGAAAATATCTGAACTATTGGAAGGAAGGAACAGGAGGACCGTTCCCAGACAGGTCATCCCAAATGCCAATATATTCACAGAGATGTATCTTCTGTAAATAGCTTCATGCTTCCCTTTATCGATTAAAGACAATTCCATCCAAAGCAGGGCTTGGAAGTGGAGAAGAACAGAGCAAGATTCATCAGAACTGAAAAGACACAGCTCACTTGGTTAAGAAGACGAGAGCAGAAGTGGAAAAGCAAAGTTTAAGAAATGAAATACCAGGTTTCAGTTTGGCATCCCTTGCCAGGAGGTTTGTGCAAGCACACAGTGCGTGTCTGTCCAGCTCCCCAGCAGTCAATATTCCACTAACCTTGACAGGGGGATAAGGGGCTCCAAGATTTACAAAATTCCTACAAGATTTTGTGGAACAGGCAGCTGGGGACAGAAAGGGACCGTGTGTCTGTATGGCTTCTGATGGCTTCAAAGTAACTGGAATGCTTTATTGGACACCACAAACCCCAAAGAGGGAGAGCAGTGCAGTCCCACAAAGTGCTTTGCACAGCTTGTGCCTTCTCCTCTACCTGAGGACAACTGATGGCAGGAGAGAAGGCAAAGGAGATCTAAATTCCTCGGCCACACCTCACTCAGAGCAAGCCTGGGCTTGGAGGGCTGCTGCACATGGAGTTTGCTGAGCAGCATGGGAAGAGTATTCACCTTCAAGCCCAGCCCGTGGAACAAGAGGACACCCAGTTTTCCTCTCATTCCACATCCCCAGGCAGAGGCAGCACAGCTGAAGGGACACAGCGACTCACAGAAATCATTTTACCACACAGACCTGTGTCCTGAAAAGACCCACTGGACTGAACCCCCATGGCCAGGCTGGGCAGGTGCCCTCCTGCCTGGAGCCCCACGGGATGATTGAAGTGAAGCCCTTGTTTGCCCCACAAAGCATCAGGACACCTGTGGGAGGGTGGCAGCACAAAGGCAAGTCAGGACCTACCAAAACATACTGAAACAGGGGGACACCTCATCCCTGGGAGCATCCAAGGCCAGGCTGGATGGGGCTCTGATCAGCCTGGTCTAGTGGAAGGTGTCCCTGCCCATGGCAGGGGGGTTGTGCTGGTTTAAAGGTAAACCAGCAGGGGAAAATGAACTCAACGCAAAAGAGAGATTGTAAGTCAGAAGAACAATTTAATAAAATAATAAAATAAGTACGATTATACAGACAAACAATTGGTTTTAACCCACAAAACCCAAATGTATAACCCAGCACCCTGGGGCATGAACAGAGTGGTGTTAGATAGGCCCCCTGAGTCCAGAGCAAAGGGAGAGGGGGAAAACCTGTTGGTGAGAGCACTGCTGCAGTCCGGTCAGAAGTGGTGTGCTGCTGCAGTCCAGTCGAGGGGGGTGGCTGCTTTAGAAAAACATAATCAACCAGTTTTCAATAATATAAAGTCCAGCAATGTTCCAAGACCCTGTGGCCAACCTGGCAGGAGGTACAGCAATGTACAGATAGGATCACCTCTTCTTGAAGCCATATTTTTTCCTTTCATAGAAAAGATCTGTCTTGGAACTGCCCAGGTTGACGATCTTAGGGCAACCGTCTCTGTCCTTTTCCTGGATGCTGCACTCCTTGCAGTAGTAGGAATCAGACACTCCCAGGCCCCCGCAGATCACACAGCGCCCTGTAGTTACACTCGTCACAGATGCGCACCAGGGTGCAGGGCCGCACGTAGGAGTCACAGATCACGCACTTGCCATCACATTTTTCACAGAGCCTTCCAATTGCGACGCCGGCCTGCTTGCGGCAGAAGATGAGGTCCGGGTGGTGCTTGGCCATGGTGAGGCTGCTGCTGCCCTCGGTCAAAAGTGGTGATTGCAGTCCGGTGGAGGGGGGTGGCTGCAGTCCAGCCGAGAGTGGTGGCTGCAGTTAAGTTGAGAGCAGTGATCTGCAGTCTTCCTCTGGATCCCACGAGTGGTTAAAAAAGTCCCAAGACTCCAAGATTATATATCCTTCAGTTCAGGCAGGGATGCTCAGTACCTCCCTCAGGGTGGGGGGTTCCTTAATGGGTGTGAGGACAAAAACAACATCCTATCTCGCAGGCCTCTTAGCACCTAGTTTATAGCCTGAGGAGTCAGGCTCTAGGTGCAGATGGTAGAAATGGTTCCTTGATAACAGTTTCTGGGAAATGGCTTAGCATTTCTGGGAAATGCTATAGAATACACAGTTTCAGGTTACACCCATCCAGTGATGAACTGACCCCAGCTGTTCTAGCTAGGACAGGGGTGCACTGAGATGAGCTTTTAAGGCCTCTTCCAACCCAAACCATTCCAGGATTCTATGATTTCCAAGCCCATCATTAAACAAGAACCATTGCAGAGGGTTTGGGCAGTATCTTTATCCCACAGACATTCACTGGGCATATTTTAGAGCTGGAGGAAGACTGGGCATCACCTGCCCATGGAACAAGCAGCAGGTGTGTCTCATGGTGAGCCCAGCAGAGCTCTGCTTGGGAATGCTGGGCAGCCCCCTGCACCCACTCACTGTAGGGGACCACGACACAGGAGGGGTGGGTGGTTGGGGGTAAATACGTTGTCACATCCTGCCCTCCAAGATGAAAAAAAAGTAAGTGGAAACTGGTATGCAATAAAGTCATGCTTTAATAGGGGAATCAACATAACAAACTCTGTGATACAACTCTGAGTGCTGGGAAACATCTTGTGAACTCACCACACACACCTACAGCCAAAACTCTGAACCAGGTATGAGAGGGAAGGGTTTGGTTTGAGCACTCACTCCAGGCTGGGGCTCACAGTGAAATCCCATTAAACACAAAACCAAACCTCACCGTAACAAGATGTATGATCTACACCCCAACTGAGCACACATTCACAATGGAATTTTCATTAAATAAGAAAATTACTATAAATCTGTACAAAAGCCACAATTAACAATTCTTAGGAATCTCTTAGGAAAGAATTTTCACTCAACATCTTCAAGTATTTGTATCTGTAGTTAAGTGTATTCTTACTGGCTATTTAACTCCACTTGTTCATAAGAAGGAAAAAAAAAGTAATTTCAAAACATTAAAGCCTTTTTCCAGCACGTGTGTGACCACAAACATGAGATGCTGAGCTTGCAGACTTTTATTCCCACACACACGTATGTGGCATGCTGGCTCAGGACCTACAGTCTGGGAAGGCAAGTCACCCATCAAATTCCTTGAAAGATGAAGCTTCTTAAGAACTGTAGCAGAGAGAGGAAACACATTAACAGTGCACAGGCTGCTGCATCAACCAAACAGCACCAAAGAACCCCAAAACCAAACCAAACCATCGGAGCAAACAGCAAGTCCAGACCTTCTGGCTGTTGGGAATGGTTTTCCCTCCTTCATAAAACAGGTCCCTGTTGTCAACCTTTAGGAGCTAAGCTGTTTAATGCTCTTTCAGACTCGGTGCAATATGGTGGAAGTCAGGCAGAACAGCTGACAGGGAGGTCAGGAACACTAATGCAGGCAAATAGCTGGCAAGGTCTGAAAGTGAATTCTTGAGGGCTGTAAATAAACGAACCAGACAAGCGTACCCCCTCCAATTAAAGCTTCAATTAACTGCCCCACGAAGCCCAGTGGTTTCCAGACATGCTGCACTCGGACGTGCTCTCACTGTCTGACACGCTGACCATTAATGGCAAACCAACCCTGCCCTAACTGGGAAATGGGTTGGATCTGACGCATCCCACCTCACGCAACGGGCCTGCAGAAAGGAGCCCCACAGGCCACGGCAAATTACCAGCAAAGGCTGAAAAAAAATGCAGTGGGAAAAATTTGTGCTGTTTTGGCAACTGAGAAAGGAAGGCCTTTGAACCAGTCATGGACACTGATAGCTGTGGAAGACAATAAAGGGTCTAAAAGTGGTGGGAAAACCTGGGGAAGAGCAGCTCTAGAGTTTTATGCAAAATCTGAAGGTTTTCCTCTTAGAAACTAGGAGACAACTCATATTCTTAACAGCTCCAAGAACTACAAAACAACCTCTGTGGGGATGAAGAGAACAAATTACTCAGCACTTTGCACCTCAGAACAGTATCTACACAAAGGCTCATACTGCTCAGAGGTATGTTTGGTTATGCATTTTATCCCAGTCTAAAGCCAAACCTACTTTCTTTATAGAGGCAGCTACACTCTGACATCATGTGAAATCCATATACTCATCTATTTTAGGGAAACAGCACTTTTTCCAGGAAAAAACTCCTGGGAAGGTACAGCCTTTCAAAATAACAAACAGAAGTTACATGGTAATAGAAAGGCCTGGTAAACTAGGTCATGCTGTCTTACATTAAAAATCATGTATTCAATAAATACTTAACCATTTCAAACAAGGAAAGAGATCATTTTTCCTCTTCTCTTTCAGAAGGGACATACCAGAA